CCAACCAACCTCCCATGGTGGTTGGTGGTAGCAAAAGGTGGTAGAAGATAGCAGTGGGTAGCAGGCACCACCTCGCAGTGGTGATGGCGGGCCTTCCTTGGTTTCCAGTCGAGCAAACCCACGCACACCCTCACACTTACAAAATAAACACGTGAACACCTCCAACTCAGCCACCTTGGGTGACAGACGATGACCGTAAGCGACCTACTGCCACCGATGATCACAGTTGGTGTTCACGATGTCGTGTTCACAGAAAAAGGATAGAGGGGGTGGCGATTGTACTTACCGAGAGCCTTCCATCGTGCACGATCCATATCCCACCGTTCACAACTTCCTCCTTCGTTTCAGTGGTCTCTCTAGCTGTTTACGACGACTCCAACGGTTCTCGATGCTTCATCCGGCTGCCATGACGTCTCCGGCAGCAGAGCTAGGGTGGTGGTGCTCGACAGCTAGGTGGCATGCAGCGGTCTTGGAGCTTCTCATGGTGGCGGCTGAAAATGCTACACATGGTGATGACGACTGGTGGTATAGCGACGTAGGGTTAGGGTTCGTGCAAGGGAAACGAAGGGGAAGGGATACAAGAGTTAATCCTGTGTCTCATTTCAATCATGTGTTCCATTTTCCAACTTCAGCCCCTCCTCCCAGGATCTTTTCCAATTTAGGCTCGGAATTTACCCCTTTAGCCCCTGACTCCAAAAGTCCTTTCATAATAGGTCCCAAAATTACCAATCATCCCCCTAAGCCTTCAGATCCTTTCAATTTAAGTCCGCTAATTACCAAACACACCCTGACTTCTGAAATCCTTTTCAAATTAAATCCACAACTTACGCTTTTAACCCCCAAAATCCAAAATTATATCATTTGGTTCCCCTGAAACCAACACCCCGCTAAATATTATTGATTTTGGCTACCATTATATAAAATAATAAAAAAAATTACATCTCAGGGCTTTTGTGTTTACTATTTATTTAATTGATTTTAAACGGAATGTTACAGAATTTCATCCTTCATCTCTTGAACACAAACTTAACTAGGTTCAACTTTTCTAGTTACATCTCTACCAAACAACCCATGTTTACTCATTGTTAAACCGTCCTCACTCATGTTCCCTATTCTATGATGCCATAACTCTATTTATAATCAACTGATCCAAGGATTGGGATGCCACCACCCTTCCCCTAACCGTACTACCATATAGGAAATAAATCCCGTGATTCATCTTTCCTTTCATAACCAAAAGAGCATGTAATGCAAGTAAATTCAATCTAAACATAATAAATAATAATTATTAAAATTAAAATCCTTGAATAGGATAATCTATAGTCGTGTGCTTTGCAGACTATATAATATAAATTTGATATGTTTTGCGGAATATACATTGTTATTGGATTTAGATAATTGACCCATTAATGGAAGATGTATTATTTCTCTTTAACTATGTACAACTCTTATTGGCTCATGCAACGTGCGTTGACACTTGTTTCGTTTACTTTGTGCCATTTGTGCCATATGATCGGTATATGATAGTAGAAGCTTGGCTTGATAAGATGGGGTTACATTTAGGTATAGTGATTTGGGAATAAATTATGACACTTGTAGTTGGTTTATTTACTATTGTACTTTGCTTGCACTATATTTAAATGGTTTTGGATGATTTTTTAGAAAGAACTTAATGTTGTGGTTTGCTTTCAAATATTTTTAAGCAAGTTAAGTTTTTCGTTAAAAATATTTCAAATTAATTGAAGAAAAAACATGGTAAAATTCATGGCGTTACATCGGGTTCTACTTACTCCTATATATCATATGAATTTAGTGCTAAATTGAATGTGCCTGAGAAATTGAAGCCTTATGGTGTAAAGAATTATGAAGTCAATACTTTGAATTGGAAAACGAGGTGACATTGACTTTTCTAAGGGTAACGTGTTTTTATGCTTGTGAAATATGTGCACCACTTATCCAAATGACTATGCTATGTAATTCATGTTTTTTAGATGAGGAATGACCAAAAACGGGATCTGGGAGTCGAATCAAACCCTAATTGGAACAAATTGAAAGAAGATTTGAAAGACGTACCGATTTCCGATCCGACTAGCGTTTAGAACGCTTTTGTACCACGATCGAAACAATTGGATCCCACAGAGCTTCACTTTAACTTCTCATTATAATTCCTATAAATATGTATACAATTGCTTCAAAGAATTTATGTATAGTGAATTGTATATGGTGCTACTCATACCCTTGTCATCGACTTCACATTTACTTTAAAGTAGGGGTGAGTGCGTTGTGGTTCGGTGTGGTTATTGGCTAAAACCTCACAACTAACCGTAAATGCTGTTAATCCATTTTCAAAACCGTTTGATGCAGTTATTTTTGTAGTGCGGTTAGACGGTTATTTTTGTGGTGCGGTTTTGTTTTGTTTTGTTTTTTTGTTTTTTGTTTTGTTTTTTTGTTTTTTTGTTTTTTTGTTTTTTTGTTTTTTTTTTTGTGTTTCGATTATTAACCGCATGGATTTTGTGCATTTATTTTGTGTGGTTTTTAACCGCAGTTTAGAGTTCAAACGGTTTTAAGAATTCAAACATATTACTTGTAATAATAAAAAAAATAAGGTATAAGACACTTAACTTAAATCACAAACAAGTAATATCTTAAAAAAGTGAAATCAGTAGTAATGAATAATAAATATCTTAAAATTGTGAACTTTCATCATTTTCCAAAATTAAACATAAAAAAAATATATATATATATATATATATTTTTGTCTTTTAAAATTTTATCATTTTTTCATCCATGAAACTTATCGTATTTTTAATATTTAATATATTAAAAATTATTAAAAAAACTGTATATAATATATACGGTGCGGTGCGGTTTTTTTTGCAGTTTTTGAAAACTAATAACCGCCCCGCACAACAAATTTACGGGTTTTTGAAAAACTGAAAACCTCATCACCGATTTTTATTGCGATTAATTTTAGTTACAGTGCGGTTTTTGTTCACCAAGTACTTTTTTTTTTCTTTAATTGAAAATGGTTTGTAGGAAGAATAGTTGCGTTCCACGAAAGTTTGAGTGTGATGAGGGCCAAAGCCAAAGCATCGTTGATCTATCTTTCACAATTGAAACACTTTTTTTCTCTATAATCTTTTTTTTTTTTTTTTTTTTTTTTCATTTTGTTGATAAAATTAACTGTGTCAAGATTTGTATTCATGTCTTTGGATTTGGGGATATTTAATAGATAAAAGAAAGAGTAAATTATACGATCCATCTCTCGTCAAAGTATCAAATTGCTCGTTTAGTCCCTATTTTTAAAAATTAACTCGGACCGTCCCTGTAACGTTTGTTTCTCACTCGGACAGTCCCTAACGAGCATATATGACTATTTTACCCTTTATATATATATATATATATATATATATATATATATATATATATATATATATATATATAACTGGAAGCCAACATACCCTCTAAAACTGGAAACATATTCCTTAGTTTCTTACATTTTTCGGTGAATATATGGCCTTATACCAAATAGAGTTTGAGTCTGTTTTAATTGCATAAAAATGTGAAATTGTAAATATTTTTTTAGTTAAAAGTCTGACTATATGTTGTATTGAGTTTATGTTTCATTTGTCCTTAATTTATAGATATCTTATGAAAGTTGAACTAATTTCTTTGATTGATTTGCTTTTACATTTCTCATTTCTTTCTCTTAAATATTTTTAAGGTTCACATTAAAAAAGCTGATGCAAATCTTGATTTTGTTTTAGAAAAATGTATTTTCAATTAAAATATTTTTTTCAAATCTCATTTGATATAACTATATGAAGTGATTCTAATATATTAATCTTAATGTTTGATCATGTAACATATCTTGCTTAGATTAAACTAAGGTCAAGTTAGGTAGTTTAAAACTTAAGTAGTTTGATATTTAAAAAAAGAAAATGAGTTATTTAAACTCGAATAATTAAAGGATGGCTCATAAAAACAAATAAACCTTCAGTTGGGTTATAGTAAGTGCTATTAAAACTTATAAATAATAAATTTCTAAACATTTAAACTTAATTTAACAAATAGGATCATGCTAAAACCCTTTCAAGGGATTCCAATAAATTTCTATAAGGCTCACAAATTGTTAATATGACATGGTAGGACAGAAACAATAAAAATATAAAATATCATAAATATTAATTTATAATTTCTATAGGTCTCAACTCCTAATTAATAATACACAATCAATCATTTATATATATTTATAAAAAAAAAAATCCGAACTTTTCATTTCTAATTCTTATTGATTTCGTTTCTGCTAGAATGAATCTTCCTGATAATTGTTTAGATGTACTAATTATTTGCGCAAAAGAATTAATCGCTTCTTAGAACTAATTTCTGAAAAAAAGTATTCGTACTCGTCGCTTAGCGCGAGTAAACGGCTAGTATGTGTGTGTGTGTGTATATATATATATATATATATATATATATATATATATATATATATATATATATATATATATATATATATATATATATCTTTTGAATTTTTTGACTCCAAAATATATGGTTAATAACCGATGGCGTTTCATGTCTCTTAAAAGAGTCTCCTCTCAAATATTCCTAATTAAGCACCTATTAGATCGAACCCAACAATTATGGCTGTAATAACTCAAGACTGATGGAAAAATTATTGTCAACGAAATAATGTTCTATTAATTTTGGCCTACTTTCTATATGTTTTATACCTATTGTATTTATATACTCAATAATATTCATTCCTCTTCCATCAGATATAACTAAATGTTTTTCTCAATAAATGATCGAATATTGTATATAACCCATCAGATATAACTTGTATATCTCAATCATTGATCTGACAATTTCTTGTCATTTATAAAATCTCGTAGTTTACTTGGAAGGAAACCACTACTTGGTGCATATTCAGTTACTCTTAATTTGATTATATATTGATCTAGTATCAAATCATCCCTATATTCCCATAACTCACAATGGTTGTTCTCTCTCAACTTTCCGAAGGATCTTCATCTTTATCATCAATTCATGGTCACATATATGACATATTTTTAAGTTTCAGAGGTATTGATACTCGTAATAATTTCATCGCTTACCTTCATGAAGCTCTCACCAAAGCCAATATCACTACATTCTTGGATAATGAAGAGATTAAAGCTGGGGAAGATCTAAAACTGGAATTGGAGAGTGCTATCAAAGCATCTAGGGCTTCTATTATCGTATTATCTATAAATTATGCTACTTCAACCTGGTGTCTTGATGAGTTGGTGTTGATCCTTGAGCAACGTATGACATCCAACCATATTGTCATCCCTATCTTTTATCATGTTGAGCCTACCCATGTTCGGAAGCAATAGAATAGCTTCGGAAATGCAATGGCTGAACATAGAAAGATGATTGAGGCGGAGACCGATGCAAATAAAAGAAGTAAATGGACTGAAAAGATGGACCGGTGGAATAAAGCACTTACAGAAGTTGCTGGTTTAAAAGGCAATAACGTTAATGGGAGGTAACACTTTTTTACCCATATTACCATACTCCTTCATGCTTGTTTGATGAACACGTAAAAAGTTAATATCATCTTATCTCTGTACATTTTAATAAGTTTCTTCACTATCATCAAATCGTCATAATTTTTGATGCATAAAAATAGGATGACTGAATGCATAAAATTGAATCTGATTTTTCAATCATCTGATCTCTTAAACTAATTCATATAGGTAGAATAATAATCCTGCTAAACATCGGTACATTTGGAAACCAATTCATATATGCGACCTCTTATATAATTTATATGCGTTCTTTTAGAAACCAATTTATGAACGATTTGCTACGATACGATATTATAACTACACCATACTACCTTCAAATTAATTATAACATGTTTTATAACAATAAATACCTATACATTCCAGGACGTTTTGTTTACATTTATGCAAAATCACGCCGATAATCACGCTTAATGGTATTGTAGAAACATAATGAAATTTGGTGGCCGGCCATTAGTGAAATCTTACCACTCATAGGTATGGTCTTATCATACATCGGAGTTATGACCATACACATTAGATGTTTACGGTTGGAAGTGAAAATATGATATAGTTTTGATATAAAAACTTAAGACAAAACTGCAAAAATGATCCTATGGTATGTATTTTTTTGGGGTTTTAATCCAAATCACGACTTTTTTGGATTGGTAGTCCTTTTGAGCTAGTTTGTACATGGAAAATGTCTCTCCTCAAATTGAAAAGTCTAAAATACCCTTAATATATTTATTTTTCATTTTTCTTTCTTTTTTAACTATTTTATAATTAATAAATAAATACAAAAAATGACTCTCTCTCTCTCTCTCTCTCTCTCTCTCTCTCTCTCTTCCAATTTTTCTGTAAGTTCACACCCTACCAGATCGGAATTACCATCTCCGTCGAGACTAAGCATCCACCTTTGATGGAGCCTCCACCGGTAACAAGTTTCACTCCTCTCCACCATTTCTTCTTCTTCTTCTGCCTAATCTAAAACTTTGATCTCCACCATTTGACCAGGGGCACCGAGAACCAGATAACAATGATAAAGAATTACACGCAAATCGGTGGTGGGTATGGCGGTTCATAGAGTCGGAGATGTAGCCATATGGAACAAATCAATTATTCACCAATAAGATGCGTTTGCATCGAGGATTAATCTGTTAATGACACTAAAAAGAAGAATCGGTCAAAACATGTTGCAAATTCTTGATTATGTGTGCTCATCGATGATGGAGGGTTGTCATTGCTTCTTCTTCCCTGGTGAATGAAGAATACCATATTGGAATCCACAAAACTCAAACACAATGCATCAAATTTCAAACTCAAACTCACCTATGTTCCTATTATCCGGTTATAAATCCAAGCAGCCTCCCTCACCACCACAGATGGTTGCCACCGCCTCCACCTCCTTTTCTCATTCCCAATTTGCTACCAAGCACCCCTAAATGTTGAAATTTTAGTTTTTTTGTTTCTCCTGGTTTATTGTTGCTAGCGACAAAATGAGAGGACCAAAGAGACCTCGATAGATATCGACTCCTTTCCCCTCCTCAGTATTTACCAGCCACACCAAAACTCCCATGTATGAAGACAAAGATGCTGACCCATTCTTCAACCCTCGGGCTTCAAGCCCCGAAATGGAACACATTTTATCGAGATTCATCTCCAGGGATGGTGATAATTCAAGCTCTCATCAGAATATAGGTCGAATTCGGGGAAATGACCCCCCCCCCCAATTTATGGATCATATGAAGTAGGAACGAGCGAGATCCATGGAACTATCAGGAGGTGTTGTTTTTGTCGTCGACGGGGATGAGAACACAAACAAGAACTTAATCAAACACAGATAAATCAATCAAATTTATGTTCTAATCGGACTGAACGAGAATAAGACCCACTATCAAGAACTTAATTTAACCTTCTGCCCTAATTTCACATGAAAACACAAACAAAATCAATGTTATACCATCAATAAATGTGGATCTAGACTAGAAATAATTAGTTACATATCCAATACAATGTTAATTTTGGATATCTATCAGATGGGGAGATGAATGAGAAGGACATCAAAGATGGTGGTGGTAGTCGGTGGAAAGGAGGTTGCAGAAATCGATCTCTCAGATTGAAGTGGTGATGGTCATCAAAGAGGAAGAAGGCAACAAAGGTGGTCATCGATGTAAGGGAAATCGATGGTTGTTGCTATCATTATATGGAGGTTTGGCATAGGGTCTTGGTGATCGAAGGTGGTGGGAGGCGAGGTCTTTCAAGAAGTTGTGGACTTTGATGGTAGGGGTGACGGTATGGAGAGAGAGAGAGAGAGAGAGAGAGAAGAGAATGGAAGAGAAGGAGGGGGTATGTGGGTCCAATATAATTATTTATTTTCTTTTTCATTTAAATTAAATAGAAAAAACATAAAAAAATATCAAAAGGGCATTACAGTCATTTCAATTTATTGAGGGACTAAAAACGCAACGAAACTAGCTCAAAATGACCACCAATCCAAAAAAGTTGTGGTTTGGACTAAAACCCCAAAAAAATGCATACCACAGGAACCATTTTTGCAATTTTGTCAAAACTTAATCAAAAATAATACCTTAATGTGATACAAGAGCATCCATAATGGTGAGTTCAATGGGAGATTTGAATGAGGTGACAAATCCATGTGTCATTCAATGGATGAAACTTCACCATTATGAGATACCACTTTGGTATTCAATAGAATGAATTTGAAATTCAATGGTCATTGGACTCTTCAATGAGAAAAATGAAAGTTTTTAATTCTTAAATATTTACTATAAATTGCATTTTGTAACATTCTATTGAACTTTGTAGAGTTCAATGTATTGTAGAAAGATGATTTGACAATCCATTGAACTCTATGGAGTTCAATATATTAGAGTTCAATATATTGTGAATGCCCTAAGTTTGATTTAGATCTTTGGGAAAACTGAACCTCCAAATCTAGCTTATTATTTTCGTGGATTGTGTTTTGTACTTCTTATTAAAATCAAGTTTCAGGGTAGAGAAGGAATTCATTAAAGAAATTGTCAAGGACGTCTACCATAGATTACAAGTATCGTTACGGAATCCTCTACCACTACTTATTGGAATGGATCGTTCCATTGAATTTGTCACTTCATGGTTAGATAAATTCTCATATACGACCGACGTACTCACCATTTTGGGTATGGGTGGGATCGGGAAGACGTCTTTAGCCAAATATGTCTATGGTTTACGTTGTCATAAATTTAAGAGAAGCAACTATATTGGAAATATCAGTAGGAAATGTGAACAAAACTTTACTGGATTGCTCCTTTTACAAAAACAACTCTATGATGACATTTCAAGAACAAGTTCAATTGAAGTTAATGATGTTTCTATATACACGTCAATGATAGAGAATGTTGTGTCTCATAAACAGGTGTTTCTAGTTCTTGATGATATTGATAGTCTCGTCCAGTTGGATTCAATGCTTGGAAGCAAAGGGTTTTATCTGGGGAGTAAAATTATTGTTACAACAAAGGATGCATGGTTGACGAAGAGTTGTGTACTATTCAAAAAGAAACTTGCACCCAAGCATACCACGCACTTACTTAATGTCTTAAAAGAGAATGACTCACACGAACTTTTGTGTTTTCATGCATTCAACTCAAACCATCCCAAGGCAGGTTATAAAGAGGTGTCAAATAAGTTTGTGAAGTATTGTGAAGGACATCCATTGGCTCTCGAAGTTTTGGGAAAGTCTCTATATAATCGAGATGTAGCTTACTGGGAAGATGTTCTAGAACAGCTAGAGAAAGAAACCGGTTCTCCTATAGATAATGTCTTGAAAATGAGTTTGGACTCTTTGTCATCAAAAAATGATAAAGATTTGTTTAAGCATATTGCTTGTTATTTTGTTGGAACAAACAGAGATGTTAGTGAAACAATATTAAAGGCATGTCGTATAAACACAACATCAGGGATCACGAATCTCATGGACAGATGCCTTCTTAGTATCGGAGAGAATAATGAATTCATGATGCATCAGTTGCTTCAAAAGATGGGTAGATTCTTAGTATATCAAGAATCACCTGAGAAGCCATGGAAGCGAAGTCGATTATGGTTTCATGAGGATTCATTCAAAGTGTTGAAACAAAAAAAGGTTAGCGACCATGTATAATTGTTACCAGCATGCCTGTTCAAAGTATTTTTGTATTGTTCATATATATTTACTTTTTTTTTAGCTTTCTTTTTTTCTTAGGGTAAGGGGAATCTTCTTGGCCTTGCTCTTGACATGCGAATGCTTAAGAAAGGGAATTCGTATGCATCTTTTAAGATGGAAACAAATGCACTGAGTAACATGGAAAATCTAATGCTTCTACAACTCAATTATGTTCAATTTAGTGGGTCTTATGAGAATTTCCCGGACGAATTAAGATGGTTGTGTATGCATGGATTTCCATTAAAGTCTATACCTTCAGACTTACCGATGGAGAATTTGGTTGCTCTTGACATGTCATATAGCAGCATTGAATCACTTGGCATTTGTTATAGCAATCCACAACTTGAGAGTAGGAAAAAGGTAACTTATCTCCATTTATCATTCTTCCGACTGAGTGACTACTATTCTAACTTATTTCCATTTTAGCAGTTGATCGAGTCGTGCTCAAAAGACAAAAGCTTGCTTGGGTCACTGAAGATTCTTAATTTAAGTTTCTGTGAACAACTTCGAAGTTTAGGAAGCTTTGAAAAAGTTCCTTCACTTGAAATGTTAATACTTACAAATTGCATTGGCTTGCTTGAGGTCTGTGATTCAATCATGCATTGTGTTGAACTTGCTGTCATTGATATGAGCTACTGCAACAACCTTGATCATTTTCCAAGAACCTTACACATGTTAAAGAAGGTTAAAACACTATTGCTAGTTGGTTGTAACTCTAGTAAATCACGAATCGAGATTAGGGATATTGTTTCACCAGGAATACCTACAGAATCGTTGATTGTACCAAGAGATTTTAAGCTTTTATCAGTTTCATTGCCGAGATCTTTGGTACGATTGTCACTTGCAAATAATGACTTGGCCACAGAATCCTTTCCCACGAGCTTTGTTTGGCTATCCATGTTAAAGGATTTAAACTTAGATGAAAATCCTATGATTTCCATGCCCGTATGTGTGAGAAGCCTTCCAAGTCTTGAGTCACTTAGTATGAAAAACTGCAAAATGCTGACATCAGTTGAGCGTCCTCCACATACACTAACATATCTGGACCTATATTTAGGTTCAAAGAAGGCTATGCTACGAAAAATTGTATTTGATCCAAAAGTAACTACCCCGCTTCAGTTCTCAATAGACTGGAGGCTGTTAGCATCTTCTTCATTTGAATTTGAAGGCTTGATCAAAATCCAACCAATTGCAAGCATTGAGAAAAAACTATTACGTAGTTTGGGCTGGATTGACCTCGATTTCCTAAATGAAAGACGTTTGGTAGCAGAGCCTGTGTCTAAAGGAAGAGAAGAATCTAAAACACAGGTTTGCTATTGTTAATTATCGTTCTTAATTTGTCTGATTATGTGAATATCTATGTATATAATAATGATATGGTTATTTAAATATGGTGGTTGTATTTGGCAGATGTATTACGAATTTGGAATATTCAGCACCATTTACGTTGGCAAAGAGATTCCAGATTGGATTACATGTAAAAGAAAGGGGCCATCGATATCATTTATCATCCCATCATCTCTTAAACAGTTCAGAGGATTGAATTTTTGCTATGTGCTGACATCTCGAGTTCTGAATGAGAGTCTTGGAATTGTAGAGCAAGATCAGGTCCTTGATTTGCCAATGATCATAATTAGTAATATAACCAAAAAACACACCTGGATATACCATCATTATGTTTACAGAGTCCGTGTAGATGGGGATTTTGCAATAATGTTAAGCCATTGGATGTTTGGGATGAATGAGATGGAAGGTGGTGATGAAGTCACTATTGCTACAACACAGGACCTTGGACTTACAGAGGAGGTTGGAGTTGGTTTTATGTATGATGATGGAAACACAGATGAAGAAGATGCATTGGGCTATTACAAGTCTTGGAATCATATCATTGGTGGAGATCTTTTAGGATTTCAAACAACAACAGGCGAATACATCCTGAATAGCACTCGGTTTTTGTCATCTGGCCGTGTAGTATTTCCATACTATCTTCCATACATTGGAGACGAACCCTATTATAAAGGTATAATATCACTTTTAGTACGTATTATCACACAAGTAATATCAATCAGGGTTATGCGAAAGAAAAATACTTGTCTCCTTAAGTTTATATATGTTATAACTATATACCGATATGACCTTATCTCTTTAAAAAGAGTGGATCATGACTTGTTTATCTTAAATATATGGATCATGATTTACTATTTTATTGACCTCTAAAGTAAGGCTCTTTTTATAAATAGAATGAACTTTTAATTTTAAATGGATCCACCGAATATTAATTTATGCCTATATGAGTCGATTTGTTGGATCAATTGATCAAAATACCACTCATTGAGAAGCTTAGCTACAATTACTTGGTCCAAGTAGATGTATGTGAATGATAATGAACCTATTCCTTTTTATCTGTTTTCATCAGAAAACCAAGTGCATTTCAGAGTTTTTTCTGTAAGGAAGTCTAACATAGTTGGTGGCGTACATGAGGTATACTTTTTGACACCCATACATGTCTCATCCCATAAATAAAACTCATACAGAATCAAATTGTAGTGATCAATATTCTTTATTGATACAGGATGAAACAGTGTTGTACAATAGACCCTCGAAAATGTTGAAGATATAAGCTATCCTTGATAGAGAGTGACGATACTTCTTGTTAATGGCAATTACAAGATGGTAGTTATTGATGACAGTTACAAGTTGCATGTGGTTATACTCCAAGAGTTGCACGGGGTTCTCTTAAATGGTTGTGATGGTTAAGAAGCAACCATCTTAGGCTATATATGTTGTAGTCTAATGTAAATAGTGTTATTATTGTGATTAATAGTAAAATCTTGTTTTGTTGTTCAAGAGTTTCTTCTATTATATCCTTTGTCTTCAATGTTTCTCCAACTGGAAATGGTCTTATGAAAATGTGCCCATAGGTTATCGAATTGACCAGCTACAAGCAAAGTTCTCATCCATATTTATAAGAAAGTAAAGCTTATGAAATGAAGTTTGTTGTGTATTCGATGAACGAGAGATACATGTATATATATATATATATATATATATATATATATATATATATATATATATATATATATATATATATATATATATATATATATATAGAAGATATACACAATTAATCACAACTGCCTAACCTACTTCCATACAATTATGAAACTATATATACGTGAATAATAGATCCTAAAGAATAGGACTTAATGACTAAGTCATATTGTAACATACATAAATATGGTCCCAAAAATTTCATTTTTAATAATAGATAAAACAGAATTTATCAATGACATCCAAACATATACATAAAAATCTTTGTATTAATTTCTTTAAAATCAAAGTAAAACATCCAAGGCGGAAACTTATGGTGTGTGCCCTGCAATCATCCCGAGCTCTTCCTTTTGAAAACCGAAGTACCTGAAACCAAAAGTGAAAACCGTAATCATGAAGCTTAGTGAGTTTCCCCCAAATTGCCACATACCATACACATAACATACAACTAGGAGATACGAGCCCCGCCCACACTCGGATAACGAGCCCTGCCCACACTCTGTGAGATACGGGCTCCGCCCACACTCAGCTAACTAAGAGATATGGGCCCCACCCACACTCTATGAGATATGGGCCCCACCCACACTCAGCTAACCATGAGATACGGGCCCCACCCACACTCAAATAATAATGAGATACGGGTCCTGCCCACACTCACATACATAAACAAACACATACAAGTATCACACAAAAACAATTACACAACCTTCCAAACATACCAATAACCACACACAAGTAATGATGAGATACAAGCCCCACCCATACTTAGCTAATGATGAGATACGGGCCCCGCCCACACTCGAATAATGATGAGATACGGGCCCTGCCCACACTCACATATATTTAATCATATAAACATTCAAACACATGCGAAAATCACAAAGATAATAGCATACATCACAATCAACGAGCCCCACCCACATACAAATCATATATGCATAACCTGATACTAGCATATAAAATAATCATCGGGCCCCGCCCAACATACATATCAATATGTACACATGCTAGGGTCATGCAGACAACTGACATCCTAACATAATAACCATGGGCCGACATTAGTGCCTTCGATCCGCTAAACACAGTGAGGAGACTTACTTTGTTCTGCTGAAGTCCCGCAAATAAAACTCTACCTGCTGGATGACAGATTCACGAATTGTCAACATCAAAACAACACACAATTAATAATATGGTTCCAATACATAACCATAAGTCCATATTTTGGGTAAAAAGACCATTTTACCCCTAACCTAGCTTGGTCTAAGACCAAGGCCCACACTCACACTCTGAAGGCCCAAAAGTCAAATAATCAACCAAGACCCAACTATGGCCGACTTTTCCAAATTGGGCCCAAACCCCTTGCATGTGCCTTACCCTAAAGCCCATCCAAATAATCTAGTCCATACACTTGTTCTCAGATGGCCCATATGAATCCAAACACCTAAGCCCAAAAGAAAGGCCCAACTTGAATGCCAAACATAATTAGGGTTTTCACATGAAATAACAATTAGGGTTAAGTGTTCTTACTTAATCCATTAAGGACTTAATCCATTAAGTCCATCACTTCACTAGGCCATTCATTTAATGTAGTGAGACATAATTCAAAATTTCATTCTAACAGTCTAAATGCGGGCCCCGACAAATCCCAAACTAACATTTCCAGAATTAGGGTTTTCTAACCTCTAATTAGGGTTTCCAACCCAATCACAAGCCAAATAAGTTCAAGATTAAGCTATTTGGCCGATTAGGGTTTCACTATGTCGAGCACCACCCACTGCCACGTTAGGTAGTGGTGGTCGATGGTGGCAACCAGCACCTCATGGTGGTGGTGGGGGTTTTCCTTAGCTTTTCTCCGGCCCAAAACACCCAATCAACATCTCAACAAGGACAAAACACACTCACACACACCTATTGACACACACAGCCACCCACGTAATGGTAGGCGGCAGAAAACGGTGGCAGCCACCAACTCATGGTGGTGGCGGTGGTTTTCTGGCCAACTAACATACACACTACACCACAAATTTTGCAACCTGTTTATACACACGAACACATACACACTTAGCCACCTCCCATGCAACTGACATCACCGAAAAAATATGAAAACAATGGCCAAAGCCACCTGCGGTAGCAATGTGCACAAAGTTCTACCAACAGAAACGAAGGAAGAAGAGGGAAGGTGGGTGACGAGTATTCTTACCGAGAGGCTTACAGTCATTCATGACTCAAGCAGTGGCGTTCACAGCTTCCTACGTTGTCTCGGTGGTTCTTTCGGCTTCTCTTATGTCTCCGACAACAAGGCTGTTGCGGTGGTGCTCAACGGCGAGGCAGCAGGCGGCAGACGGACACAACACTGTGGTGGCGGCTAAGAGGGTTCACATGGTGGTGGTGGTTGTTGAAAAGTGCCTCTAGGTTTAGGGGCTGTTTGTTTTTTATGGGAAGATCTGCGCAATCACTTTTGTCTGCGCCGCGCAGACAACGCGCAGACACATGCCCTTGCAGAGTGTTTGTTTTTTGGAAGTGCGCAGCTCAAAAAACGTCTGCGCGAGATCTTCCTGACGCAGATATGGACCATTTTCTTCAAAGGTCTTTAGACCTCATTTTTACCTTAAAAAAAAAATCCACCAATTTTTTTTTCTTTCTCTTTTTGCTGAAAATGCATTTTTAATATTTATAACGTGAAATTAATTTTGAAAAATTAATTTATTTCAAGAGCTGCAGACGTTAAAAACAAACTGTCTTCTTATTGCAGACTACAGACATTTGGTCCACCTCTTCTACCACAGAGGGTTGCAGATGTTGTCCGCACACTACATATATTTTGGCTTCAAAAAAACAAACAGCACATTAGTGTTGTTCCAGCGAAAGAGAAGGAAGAAGCGTCAGGTTCAATCCCATGCCTTCATCCAAACTTATGTTCCATTTTCCAAGTTTGGCCCCTCCCCATAAATCTTTTTTTTTTCATATTAAGTCCAATACTTACCAAACAATCCCTACCTTTAATAATTCATTACAATATAAGTCTAACAGTTACCATTTAACCCTCAATAATAAAAATGTAGCTTTTAACACCCTAATTGTATACACCCTGTTAATTAGTATGGCTTAGGGCTAAAATGCAATACATAAAAATACGTCTCGAGGTTCTAAGGGTTATTATTTATTTATTTATTTAAAAACAGAATGTTATACATATTGACAAATGAATTCTCATTTTTACCCCCTGGCAAACTCAAGTGGGGAACGAACTTGAAGCTTGGAAGAAAGTGTAGCAATATGTTCTTTGGCTACAAGCTTAGTGAAAATATCGGCAAGTTGGTCAGCTGGAGAAACTTGGCAGACTCGAAGATCACCACTGTCAACTTGTTCACTTACAAAATTGAAATCAATAGATATATGTGTAGATCGAGTTCTTGGAATAGATGTAACATCCCAATGATGAGGTACTTCTAATTCTGACCCTATAATTGCATTATATTGCATTTTGGTCCCTAAGTAAAAGAAAGAGTGCAAAAGGGGCCCATAGTGGCACTTTGATAAATTTGGACTTTAGGGGGTACACTGGGCGTATGTGTGTACGTTAAGCGTACTAGGGCGTGCCTTAGTATGTTAGGCGTACACCTCGTACGTAGGGCATATGTGAAGATCATGCAAACCCTAATTTTTAGGGTTTTGGCCTTATATAAACGTAATTTTTAGGGTTTTGGTCCAAGCAAACCCTTAGTGAAAGAGTGTCTTTTTGGAGCCTATTGGAGTGGTTAGAGGAGTTCTTGAAGGTGAAGAGCTTGGAGTTGGGAAACACCTTGGATCCGTGATTTCTACCTTGATTGCAAGCTCCATGAGGTATAAAGCTTGCAATTTTACCACTCCATCTTATAGATCTAGATTTTTGTTCTTTTAAGACACTTTTTGGTCCCAAAATGGTGATTCTTGAGCATGAAATGTTCTTGACCTATTAAGTCATCCTTTCAGACCTTAGGAAGGGCCTTGAGTCCCAAAAATGGAGTTTTAATGGTTGGTTTTGCTCCATGAATTCTTTAGAAGGTCTTAAGGTATTAAGATGTTGAGTTAAGCTCTTAATGGACATGCAAAGTCATAAATATGGAAAATTTATGACTCTTAAGGATGATTTAGCCTTGGATCTGAAAGTTGGCCTTAAGAGCTTAAGGCATTAATCTCTTAATGAAGTTTTGAGAAGTCCGGGTGTACGCCCTTCATAACTTGAGTACACAGCGCATACGAGGTGAGCTCTCCCGTATGCGGTCAAGGTTTGGGTACACCTCGCGTACCTTTGGAGTACGCCCAACGTACGCATTATGCGTCAACGTAGCTGATTTGACTCAGCTTGGTTGACTCAGTTGACTTATTGATTTTGACTAGTTTGACTTTGACTTTGACCAAGTGTGACTTAAGCGTATTTTGGATTGTGGTTGAGAATTGGTCATTTGGTTGGACAGGTGACGGTTAGAGCTGAGATTCGGAGTCGAGATCTCATCATCTATTGCTTAGAGTGTGAGGTGAGTCTTCCTCACTATACTTACGGGTCGAAGGCACCAAGGCCGACCCATT